TTTTTTTTTTTTTTTTTGTGTCACAATGTTTCAGGCTCTAACAGCATTGGAAGATTAGATCTAACAGAGCTTCTATCAGCATCAAAGCGCCAGTGCATTAGAAACACATGCTTCGTCCCTTCGTCATCTATGTCTATAAGATACAAGCTTTCGTAGAAAAGGTCTTCATCATAATAAGTGTACATCGATAGTGCCAATTCTTCGAACCTGCGTGAAGAATGATCATCCGTCGAATACATCGTGCTGAAGCTCGATACCAAAGTCTGATGCGACGTCCTTCATTCTCTTTTCCATCTCATCCTCCATGCCTCCTCCGAGGCCCAGCCATTGGCGCAGCTTGAACATGTAGAAGGCTATATCTGATGCTGCCATGACTGTCTTGAAGATGACATGGCGCCAGCGGTTTTGAAGGCGCTGACTCAATGGTAACTGGGGGTCTTCGAAGAGACTGCGGCTTGCCCATTCACCCATCATCTTGACGCGGTTGACAGGAGAGCCCAGGTACTGGTTGTTACCTTGTACAATCCTCATGTTTCGACCGATAAAAATCAGCTCTTGCGGCCACTTCTCTTCATCTGCTAGCATTTCCCGAATTCCTTGCTTCATTCGCTGCTGCATAGCGTAATGTCGTTCGGCGGGTGTCTTGCCCTCAAGTCCCTTCATAATACCATTACGGGTACGATTGTCCCCGCCCTCGTATGGTCGCAGCAATGTCGCGCTTGCGAAGAGGTCTGCCGCCTTTATACCCCATGCATCCGTCACCCGCGAAATCGTCTTGTTGTCGAAAGTCATAAGCGCCTTCCAGAATGTAGCGTACTCGTTTCTGAATTTTGGAGACATATACACGTACAGCCCATGGTCAATCAGTACGAGCTCTGCGCGACCGTTGGGTAGACGTCTGATAAAAATGTTACCTGGATGCGGATCACAGTGAACGACTCCCCATTTGAAAATTTGCGCAGAAAACAAATCCACCATGGTAGTCATGACTTCTCGCGGGGACAACCCCAGTCCACCTCGGCCTCGTCGACCTCTCCATTCTTGACGCTCTGGTTTGAGATTCTCCTGGTAGGGCCGCGTACGAAGCTCGCGTCGAGCGGCTTCGAGGTCGATTCTGGGTAGTGAACTTTCAGCACCGGGTGAGCCGTTTCCGTGTCCTCCGAGCCATCTGGAAGTCATTGCTTTCTTGTCCCAAAGCCTTATGCCCTCAATCCACTCAGTCACAAGAACCCGTTTTGTCGTAAATTCGGGATATACTGTGGGGATATAAACTCGTCCTTTCAAAGACTTCTCTCCGTTAACCAGTTCTCGCATCTTCTCAGAATTTTTGGCCTCGTTGACGAAATCGGTTTCCAACTCAAGCCGCTCCGTGATGAAGGGCACCATTTTATACAACGGGAGATCAAACCATTTTGAATAGATCCACGCAACTGTTCTGTTTGGTGTCAGTAGGTGTTTGTGGACTGATTTACCAAACCGAACTTACTTGAAAGCCCACAGATCCCACGATATTTGTTTGGCAATTTCTCGTTTCTGGATCTTGACAGCAACTTCCCGTCCGTCTGCAAGTCTAGCCCAGTGAACCTGAGCAACACTTGCACTCGCCCGAGCTTTGCGCTCCATTAGTCCCATGCCCTCCTTGCCTATGAAGCTAACGCCAAATACTTCTTCAACACTCTTTCCAAAGTCCTGGCGTATCACAGCTTCAACATCAGTCCACTCGTCCTGCGGCGCATCGTCAAACATACGACTGAACATTTTTTGAAACTCGGGTGGAAGCACGGCGCTCTGCATCGCGATGGCCTGCCCGATCTTGAGGTACAGTCCTCCGTTGGCACGCAACAAGTTGAATAGCCGTTCAGCATTGCGGTTATGCAAGTCCTGTACAGTTCCGCCTGTAAGAGGCTGCGGTCGAAAGTTCAGCTTGTAGTCGAAGGCCACGAGCAAACCAGTTCCAAATGTGCGCAGCGAGCGTCCAAACCCTGAGGCATATATTTGACGGTCACCAAGATATATTATACCTCCCACGGCCGATATAATCAGCAGCTTCCTAGCCCATCGCCTTCCACCTTTATATTCTTTCGCCCGCCTAGGCGCACCGAGCTCTTCCGGTGATGGCGGTCGCATAGCCTGGAAAGGGCCACCGGACTGTACTCTCCGATGAGATGGTAACGGTGAGGATCTGAACCGGTAGCGCATGTTGGCGCGCGCCGATGGACCGAGCATGGCGTTGCGCAACATGCTGGACGTATGTAATCAGCTATGGGAACGAAGCATGGGCGGTGCGGACAAAGCACTTGTAAGGTGAAATTCAATGACAAGACAGTAAAGGCGACGAATATCCAAGGGCGAGATGTGATGATGTTCCTTCCTGTCATGGATGACGTCCAGCATAAAAATTCCGGACAATTTAGCTTATCGCCGGAACGGCTCGGAGAATCAGTGGGCGATGTAATCATCTTCCACAAGTCGGGGCAGAATCGCACCGATTTCCCGACTCGGCCATGAATTGCTCATAGACTTCTTATCAGCGCGGGGATTTATTTGCTATAATAGCAATAAATCAATTGTTCTTTGCAGCAGCGTCTCGTTCAACGAATCTATCAATTCAATTGACCTTTACTACTACGTACTCCTAGGAGATAGGTATCATCATGTCCATCATGTCACTGACGTCATCGAACAATGTCCTCGTCACTATAGAAAATGCATTTCACGATTCTCACATTCTTTGCATGCCACTGGCGTAGGGTTTCCAAATATCCTGGGTCGCTGGATCCAAATCAATTTCATATGTAGAGAGAAGTAATTGATGTCAAACATACCGCTAAGAGCAGTGGTCATTGTCAGACTCTTGATCGTGTTGAGACGATATTGTTCTTTAGGGTAACTAAACTGCCATCAGAAAATCGCAGTTGGTCACAGGTTCTTTTCATTCAGATAATGTCAATAGTGAATGGCATGACAGTTACGGTACTTGGATAATTCTCTATCCCATTCGAGGACTACTAAGTCTTTATGTTTTCTAGGTTGGCGGTAATGCTTTCACGATCCCATGCTTACCTTTCCACATACCCAGTTGCAAAAGAATGGTATTTGACACACAAGCACAGCTGTTGAGTTAACATGAACTGCTATTCTTGCTACATGTACTACTACCTTGCCATGTAAACTTACCTAATACCTATATAAGATTGCAGACTCTGATAAAAAAAATAAAAAAACTTCGTCTTGTATCTGGGAATGATTCGAGGTTCAAGGCTCATAGAAGCCTCAGCGCGGCTCGTCCACGTGCTTAGGCGCCGCGTCAAATAGACAATGCACATACGCGTACTTCTTGGATCCAAGGACATGAAGCAATCATATCAATTAATAGACCAACGCGAGACTTGACAGTAGAGAGCCGAAACGTGGAGCTTTATGCAGTTTGTTTCATGATCGGGACGAGCTTATTGAGGATCGCCGTGCTAAAGATAACTCCACTGTAGCAGAGTTGCACAGGCAGCCTAGGGCAGCGGAGAGCCTCAGATCCAATTGTTGGATGGATGCCAAAAGGTACCAGTCTAATTGTTATCTCTCAAGAACGAATCGAACGAAAATAAAAACACCGCATGAGGTAGCTCACTCAGCGTTACCAACCGATGTCTTGGCTAACGAGTCTAGGCCCAGGAACATCGGCCCGCCGCAGATTCCTCTATGGAGAGCAAAGCGGTACAGTAGCAATCCGCAGGTCTCAAGAGGCCATGCGACCGACATACAGTACAAGCGAGACGAGACGTTGGCTATGGCGGGACTTGTTCGCTAAACCAATAACAGACAAACTTTCATGAAACTCAATTGACTCCAGACTTGCGTAATCAACTGCTGCATACAAAAGAGGCACAATAGATAGGTAAAATACGGAGACTTCCTTCGTGTTTGTTCTTGGACTTGCGTTGGTACCAAACATGGCAGCATGCGCCACAATGTGACCAAGTCGTCTCAGATTTAGTGATTGCTGAGGCAAGACGGAATGGAAATTTGTTAGATTTGAGGGTTGTGGAAATGGAGAAGACACAAAATTACATGGTAAGTCGAGTGGTGGTCACTTGTGTGCCTAGTAGGTAGTGGTGTATTCGGCTCGCATGAAGTCTTCTCAGTCATGGTAATTGCATGGAGTCAGGTTGGACCAAAACGGACAAGACAACGAGACCAAGCCGAAGTATGGATGTAACAGAGAGGCGCGATAGAAGGAAGATTCGTATCCATTGACTGCTTGCGAAAATGACGCCCAGGACTCGTGGGATTGGTGGGCATGCTGCAACGGTAAAGGCCCACATGGGGTCAACCTTCCTTACTGTATCCACAGACTGGATGCTGCGATAAGTTAAGGTAAGTTAAGTTAAGGTGTGGATGGATGGATGGATGGTAGGAACTTGGAGGGATAAGCACGACACGAATGAGAAATTAAACTTGTGGCTAAGACTGTCTTATTGGCAGCCAACATGAGGCATCATGGAGAGCTGGCGCAAACCTTGAACACGAAGCAGTTGTTGTGTATCCGTATGTACTCATTGATTGACTGAGCTTGAGTGATTGAGAAGAGCACAAGCAAGGAGGATCATAAGTTAATTTGAATGGGACGGCAGAACCGATCGACGCATAGAAATATCCATATTTCTGTGACGACTTTGGTGAGATTGCTGGCCAGCCGCGAACAAGAAGGGCCCGACGCCCTTGAGGTGTCAGAAAAGCTGGTTGGCGGGAACGAGAGCTACGAAATAGCTGATCACTTGACCTCGACTTAGGCTGCACCTTAGGCCATTTTATTCTGACACCCTAAGCCTTGGGGGGACAATTTCTCTGTTGTCCAACAGCGAAGGCCCCTGTGCCTGAACCAGCGCACCACCCAAGACCAGGGCACCATGAGACACTAACCAGCCCTAGATTAGCGTGTAATTCCCCCAGCACCCTGCTAAGCCACATGGAGTCAGCTTTGATAGAGAGACGAGCAAAAGCACCAGGTACCTTAGTGGATGCCCGTGGGAACCTTGTCTGATTACAACCCAAGACCCAAGGTGCTCTCCCCTCCTCATTACTCGATCCTCGACCACATACACTCGTTCCAACTCGATTCTTAACTGGTGTAAGGTATCGAAAGACGGTCAAGATCGCGTCAGCCGTTGGATTTCCTGAAGATTTCATACGCCAATTGCTTGGTCACCATCGTTTATATCCCCAAGCCTATCGATTTGACGACGGCTACACACGATAAACTCGCGGCGCTTGCGACTGTGTCGCATCTTAACCCATTACTCGGATCAACTGTCAAATTTCGCACGAAGACCCATTGGCAGGCAAAGAAACGGCAGAAGTCTAGGAAGCAAATATCCCGAGGAAACGACACGAATTGGATCAGATTTACTACTCTTCGAGACGTCTTCTCGTACTTTGACCCTATCGCTTCACTGAGAGCTTGTCGACATTCTTTCACTTCTTCTTTTTCACCCATGACATACATCAAGGCCACAATCGAAAGAAAATCTAGTCACAGGGTCAGCCTTTAAGCTCTTGACGCCTCTGTCCCCGCGTCTTCACGACGTCGGCTGCTTGCTCTGTCGTATTGCTATCAGTCTTCTACCAGGCGCTTAGCGCACCGTCGCCATGTTGCGGCCCGGCACACCGTTGACTGTGCTACTGTTTGCGGCCTTCGCACTGCTTTTGTTAGCTGTGATATCAACCCCGATAATCGAAGCCATTCCACTTAGTGATTTTGGGGGTGTTACCTATGGCGTGTTTGGCTACTGTCAGAATGGCAAGGGATGTAGTGGTATCGGGGTTGGATACGACACTGGTCAGTTTACCACGACAAAGAAAACACAACCCCGTCTTGGCCTTGACTAATGTTTTTCGCAGCTAAACTAGTTGGAGATGATGCTCAAGCTTTCGATCTGCCATCCGGCGTTCGCAATACACTCTCGGCTATTCTTATCGTGCATCCCGTTGCGGCACTTATCACGCTTGTCATGACCATCATGGCAGCTGTATCGCATCTACATGGACCATCGCACTCTACAAGATTTCTCCTTATTCTGTTTATCTTTCTATTCATTGACTTCCTAGTCTGCTTGTTGGCATTTTTGATCGACGTGCTACTATTTGTGCCACACCTGGCATGGGGCTCATATCTGGTTCTGGCTGCTACGATTCTCGTAGCCATGAGTGGGTTGGTAACCTGTGCGATGCGCCGCACTTTAGTCAGCAGGAAAGATAGACAGAGACGCATCGCCGATAATGCTGAAATGAGCGGCCAGAATTATTACAACAGAAATCCCCAGGATAAGACGGCCGGTGAAGCTGGAATCGCCAGACAGCCGACTTTACCCTCATCGACTGGTGGCAATGGCATTCACGACAACCTCCCAACGTTTTCTTCCTTCGAGCAAAAGAACAGAAGTGATCAAACCAGCGAAGAAGTCCCCCTTACCCGCCGAACAACATCGAATCGGTCTCCAGGTGTCCCCCATGAAACGGCTAACGTCGGGGAGGTGGCGGCTTTTAATAGAAGCCGAGACCAATTCGGGACCCCTATGGACAACCGCCCTGATCCATATGTGACCCGAAGGGGACCTTCACCAAGTACGAGCAATCGTGGAAGGGGAAATGGGGGAGGGCACCGCGGAGGAAGGGGAGGTTACGGCCGTGGAGGTTATGATAACTATGGCGCTCCGATGCGAGGCCGTGGAGGTTATGCCCCCCCTGGACGGGGTGGTTACGGACCTAGAGGTGGACGTGGAGGATCTGGTCCGCAAGGACGAGGCGCTTTTGGGCCGGGTGGAATGAGAGGAGGCCCAACTCCGCCAGGATACAGCAACGGACCTTATGATCGAAGACCGTCACCCGGTCAAAACTATGCCTCAGACGTCCCGCTATCGGAACCATCCAATGGATACAACTCGACGAACCCATCGATGCCCAGCTTGAACACGTACACTGCCTACCGCCCGGAATCTTCACTGCCACGAGCTGAATCGCCACCACCTTTGCCAGGAACTGAGCCTGCCACTGTAGGTGGCCAGCCAGTGGAGATGGACGCATCCCCAGTCGTACAGGGCCACCAGGCAGGAGGCTATGGGCAGCTCAGGGATAGCGATGCAGATGTGGCGGGTATGGTCGGCCTTCAGCAAGGTCAAATCCTTCACCGACATGATACCATTATGAGCGAGGGAAGCAAGTATAGTACCGATGAGTATGATGTCAACTTACCTAGTTATCGATAAAGACTGACTTTGCCATAGGCAACCTGCTCCACCCCGTCCTGCTTGGAATCAGGGCGATGGCCGAAATTCACCTAAAGCTCCATCCCCTTTAATGGCGAGCCATCCTGCAGTTGTTCCTCCAGGAAGGAACACGCCTCCAGTTACGCAACAACCTACGGCCATGGGAAACAGCAATTACTATGAAGACGTAGACCCTCGTTTCGCCACCGAGGCACCGCTGGCAAACAACAACCTTCAACCGCCCCCAATTGAGCCTATCTACGAGGACGTCCATGCTAACAATACGGGTGCTCGGAGCCCCGCCGAATCCGAGCACTCGACCTTTACTTCTATCTCTCAACGTGGCATTAATCCTCGTTGGAACCCCGGCCCTCCACCACCTCTGCCCTTTCAGCAAGGGCCCCCACACCGACGACCTGTACATCACCAACAGCAGCAGCAGCAACAGCAACAGCAACAGCAAAAGCGTCAAGATATGCTTTTAGACACCCCAGACTTTCAACTACCCAGTTCACGGAGCGGGCGCGGTCCTGGTATGGTACCAGGAAGCGCCTACCCACCAGGCGGCTTCTAGTGAAAGAGCTGAATAAGCCTCTGTGCTGGTTCTCCATTCAATCGAAGCATTTTGTTACTTGTTTCAGTCGGCAACCCGAGCCGATCATTTTAAATCTTCAAGCTTTCCATTATTCGTAGGGCTATTCGCCCAAGAAACAGACACTCCTATCCCTTAGACCAATATAGTGTCTTGTTGGTTGGCTATACCTTCTGTCTGGTTACTATCATGCGGCCTGTTATACTGGTGACCAACTTATATTCTAGGCTCAGGCACCCCCAACGATTGAGGTGACCTGAACTGTTATTCTCTATGTTATGATTTATCTCTTCTATTCATTCATGTTGCGGTCTGGGTTCTGATGTAGCGCCGGACGCCGTGATACTCAACACAGGGCTATCACGTTACAAGCCAAATCGTGCGGCGAAATGGGAGACTTCTTTAATTTTTTATCTATCTTGTTTGAGGGCAAGCGTGAGCAGCAAAACGAATGATATTCTACCCGACCAAACGGATACGCGAATATGAGCACGACCTTCTCTGCAAACAAAGAGGATATTCGGAGGACATACGATTAACGAATGCTGCGAGGGTTGGTAATTGAGATGGTATTTGGCCCTGTTCGTTAATAGCGGGTTTGCGGCTATGCAATATCAGTCAACTGAATCTACTTCTGTGTTCACGGTGTTAGCTTTATATATGTGTGCTGTTTGAACAATGCTGGGACCCAGTGACTTGATGTGAGGTAGCGCTTCTTACAAGTGGCTGCAACTGTCAAACATCCGACGAAGTAGCTTCTTCACCTTGGTCAAACTATAAATATATCGGTTGTATTAATGCTTCTTTGGAACAAACACAAAGCTAACCCTAGCAGATTGCCTAACCGTACACAAGTCTTCTGGCCCCAAGACTCTGTTGCGTTTCTACGTGAATCCAAACCCACCCATTGGCGTATACGCCAGGTAGCGTTCCAAGCTACAGTTCCTTCGTGGAAATGTCCGTAGTAGTTTTGAACTTCTTATTCCTTTTTTTGCTTTTCACTCGTCGCCTTTTCTCTTTAGTTATACATGATACTGATCAAGCAGGGGTCTGGCTGGGTAGACCTTATCTTAAAGCAATTGCCATTACAAGCAGTAACAGAATCTGAATTAGAATGCCGTCTAACCTTAGGTACTAAGGTAGGTAACCCTGATTTAGGTACTTGATTGAATTATAAGCTTTTATTCGATCGTAGGCCGTCGGCTGTGCAGGAAGTACTTAAGTTTACAAAGCACTCTCGTAATAATATCGTCTGCCTGTTAGCGCCTGCTGGCACTGATGAGCACCGTCAAAGTTGAAGACAACCAAAAACCAGTAGAATGCTGATCCTGCGTTGTCTGTGTGCAACTATTATCTTTATTGAAATGGTAATTCTATTCAGAACAAGCTCAGGGCTAAAAACTCACCTTTCCTTTTGGTGTGGGTTTTGCACAGTCTCCTTCTCTTCGCCTGAGTGTTTGATGTTTGGATGAAACCGATCAATATAGAGCTTAAATTATTCGACATTTGGACTATATCAATCTTGCGTTCAGTGAGTAACTAACACTGATACTATTCACATTCGCATTCGAATCTTGCCTCCTCCCGCGTTCCTTCTGTGTTGGGCAGTGTGGTTTGCGGAGGAGACTGGATGGGAAGGAGCCCCCTTGGTACCTTCCTCCATTCACTTGACTTGCACATCACCTTCCGCCTTGATTGGTACACTTACTCTTCACACACGCATCAACCTCTTACTTCCTCAATCTTCCCACTGTCTTTCTATCACACCGAATTCTTCTATCATTGAACTACGATCATTGTTTTTCGCAATGGCGAAGGCTTGAGATCGCGATCATTCGTTCCATCCCAGTATCTTGCACTTCGAACATATTCACGTTCACACCGGGTAGCCCTACTTTCCTTCTTTTCTAAAGAGATATTTGCCCTTGTTCTTCCCAGGCTTGCTCAGAAAGCCCGATACACCGGCACCTTCCTTAGATTTCAGGGATCTCAATCGTCCTTACCATCTCTGGAGGATAGGATGTATCAATCAGACTCAATCATGGAAGCCCTGTCCTCTCCAGTCAGCATCACCTCTTCCACTCCAACCGCCCCATCTTCAGCTTCAAAGGTCACTTACACTACAGCTGGCACCCCGTACAACCCCAGTACTTCTCAGCCACTGCAACCACCAGCTCGTCGAGGCCGCTCCCTTAAGTGGCCCGCCGGTCTTCCTGCGGCGGGACTATCTCTCCTGCCCAAGTCTGTCCTTGCAACGCTGCCTATTAAGACTGGGACTCGATCTTCTTCCCTTCAACAGTACAATCCGCAGACGCAATACGACGGACCGTCTACTCCTATGCCCGACACCGACCACGGATGTGTCAACATGTCTGCGCAAGTTCACCGAGTCGGATCTTCAGCAACCCCATCACCGCTTGCCTCCCTCTTTTCAGAGACTGAACAAGAAGTATTCACGGATGTTGACCCAAGTGAGGAAAGCGACGATGATTGCGAGCTTGGCATGGATCCGCTGCTGAATATGACAGTGAAGTCTCTTCACAACTTGGCTTCTTACCCGAATCCTAACCAGAAGCGAGCTCAGAAGGCCCTTCTTCGAGGAATCAAGCCGGCCCTGGGCTTGAAGTCAACAACGCGTAGCGATGAACCATTTACCCCAGCCAGCTGCTCTGCTGGTTTTCCTCAGGCATTCAAGTACAACACTGATCCACCCAGCATCTTACATACTCCTCGAAAAGAGACTCAAGTCCTTGGGAGGTCTGCTGAACATGGGATTTGGACCAGCCACGACGACAAGCTGCCCGGTCTCCCGCATGTGGCCCTGGAGAGCTTTGATCACGCAGTTGGAAGTAATCCCAACCTTATTCCCAACAAACTTGGATCGGCCACGCGTACTGTCTCGTCGGGCGCGCCACTGCCACTGACTGCTGGACCTCCTGGTCAGCGACAGTACCGCCCATCTACCTTTGAATCCACCTTCAAGGCACTGCACACTAACAACTCCGCCCAGGATTCCAGTCAGGAAGAAGAAGAAGACGATGTTCTTGTTATCACCCGGCAGACTCTACAACAAGCAGGCACCAACATCATGGGCCCAGTGCAGAAGTCAAACCCCTTCGAGACGATGCCTTCATCGATGCCCAAGACTCCTCTGCCCGTGCCCGCAACAGCCGTAGACTTCACCGAGAACTCGGGTGTCAGCAAGGAAAATGCTCGAGTCAGTGCTTTCACCAGCTACACAACCGAGAAAACAATGCAACCTTCACACATGGCGTCCTCTTGGTCCTGGGGGCCTACTCTGACATCTGATTGCTGGGCGTCATCAGGCGAGAACAGTCGGATCCGATATACACGAGGACCTCGACTCCGGAATGCAGAAGATATTGAGGCTCGCAATGAAGTGGTTAACCGCGCTTGGTACAGTGGAGCTGACTTCCTCCTGGCTTCACCTGATCAGATTGCCATGCAACTCCAGCCACCCAAGGGGAAGGGCGAATTTGGCGCAATAGGAGATGGGCGTCCTTCCAAGAAAGGCGACTTTCACCACCCGATGAGCATCGACGATGCCAATCGCATGACAGTGGCTGAACATGCTCGTCCATTGTTCAACATGGCACATGTGAACGTACAGCGGTTTATGGAAGAGGAACGGCAGAACTGCGACGGGGGCCGTACTCCAGCAGCTCAAGCTGTCAAGTACTGAACAGTTGATTGGAAAGGACGCGGAAGGTGGGAGTATGAACTATCACTTATATAATGCACTATACATGTCAGCATGGTATAGTTTCTGAGAAGACGTATGCAGATGGTGACCTTGTGTTAGCCATTGCAGGGCAGGAAGGTTGGATGTCTTTTGGGTTGACTGACAAGGTATCTGCGATATGGCCGGCGACGCATGTGCCTCAAAGGACACGAAGTGTCAAATACATGTACTTCGATCGGCTCGCATAGCAGCAGTACAGCATATGGGACAAGGACATTTTACTGCCTTCAGTAGTCGTAATTGACGATTGAATGAAGAAGATCAATTATAAAATACTGTTTGCAATTGCGCGATTGACATCATTAAAGCAGATGTAGTCCCAAAACCTTACTGCCATTGTGACTTGGCTGATTCTAACCCCTATCTGTGTTTGCTTGCTGCGATAAGTTGTAGGAACCTGTCACGGGATATCGACATGCAGCTGGCGCATATCCGCAATGGCACATGTCAAAGACGAGACATTGATCAGCCACGTCTACATACGCGGTAGACTACAGTATTAGAGGGTGACGACTTGAAAAGACAAGATTCGTACAATAAAGGTGTGGTTGTGGGTGTGTGTGTGTGTGTGGGCCCAATGACGTTCGACCAGGGGCCCCGATCTTCGCTAGGGGATCTTATCTAAACCAATTTCCCATCAAACAGTGAGACAGGAACATCCAAAAGCTTGAATTCACGCGTACGTGTTTTTGTCCAGGTGGCTGTTAGGAGTTGCAGTACTTATGACACCGGCCCAGGTGCGTCACACTTGTCCGTGAGCGTTAGCCCACGATATTGGATAACATGGAACCTGCCTAGGTACCTATCCTCATCATTTCGTCCCCCTTCCCCTCCTGCCTCCAGTGCGTTGGTCCACTTTTCGACCTGCTGGCATCTTTTTCTCATCATTCTTGCTTCTGCCAACTTTCAAGCTTCCCCATTTTAACTTCTGACCTTTTCAAACATAGGTTCTGAACACGCCTGTTTACTGTACACCTGTGGCCAGCCCGTGTATTGCAAAACCTTGTTTGCTTCGGAAATCCAAGTTCGAACGCGTTACTGTCATCGACAACCAGAACGCAGAGCCCGATTTTACCCACTTCGACGAGAAAAAGGCCACGATCCGGGACGATCGCTCTGCATATCAGCCGAAATACTCAAACGAAAAAGACACGACCACTAGAAAGAACAGGCTTTAGCTGGATAGGCGAAGCCATCACGATGGTCTACGTGCGACAAAAGGAGCTCCCGGCGCTCCGCGAGTACAAGTACTCCGGAGTCGACCACTCGTTGCTCTCCAAATATGTTCTCAAGCCCTTTTATACAAATTTCGTTATAAAGTGTTTCCCCATGAGCATGGCCCCGAACGCCATCACCTTAACGGGCTTTTCTTTTGTCGTCGCAAACTTTCTGACTTTGCTATGGTATACCCCCACGCTGGATCAAGACTGTCCCTCATGGGTATATTACTCTTGGGCCTTGGGGTTGTTCTTGTATCAAACATTTGACGCTGTAGACGGAACACAGGCGTAAGTGAACGAGGAGGGACCGCTCGCTTTTCTGTAAGACAAGTGTGCTAATTCGGGCGATATAGGCGACGAACCCGACAATCAGGACCTCTTGGCGAGCTCTTCGATCATGGCGTAGACGCTTGTAACACATCTCTCGAAGTCCTTCTCTTTGCCGCTTCTCAGAACATGGGACAAAGCTGGCAGACGGTGGCTGTTCTATTCGCATGTAAGTTGACTTTGGCATGTCCAAGCACGATACTGACTTTTCAGCTCTCTTGACCTTCTATGTTCAGACCTGGGAGACTTACCACACCAAGACGTTAACTCTCGGCATTGTCAACGGGCCCGTTGAAGGCGTTCTTGCAATCGTCTTGGTTTTCATCTTTACTGGGTACGTCGGCGGTGCACATTTCTGGCAGCAGAGCATGTTCCATACCATTGGTGTACCTTCCACTATCGGTATCCCTTCCTTCATCTACAATCTTACCTTCACCGAATGGTACCTTGTTCAAGGCAGTATCATGTTGGTCTTCAACACCGTCGAGTCTTCTCTCAATGTCATCCGCGCTCGCCGTGCTCGTGGGGACCGTTCCCGCGGTGCTCTTCTCGGCCTCGTGCCATTCTTCAGCATCTGGTCTATGGTCATTGCTTATCTGTACCTCCAACCCAAGATCCGCGAATGCCATCTCATTCCATTCGCTCTCTTCGCGGGTCTGGTCAACGCTTACAGTGTTGGACAGATGATCACAGCTCATCTTGTCCACTTGCGATTTCCTTACTGGAATGTGCTGGGTCTGCCCCTCGCTTTTGGTGTCATCGATTCTCTAGGCCCCATCTTTCAACGAAATCTCGGTGTCGGCTGGCCCAGCGCTCTTGGCGATAGTGTTTACCAGGTTGCCTTTATGTTCATGATGCTTGGAACTGCTGTCGGTGTTTATGGCAGCTTCGTCGTTGATGTTATTGTCACAATCTGCGATTATCTCGACATCTGGTGCCTTACCATCAAGCACCCCTATGTTGAGAACGAGACTCCCCAAGCCAATGGTACCAAGAAGGACTAGATAGTTAGTGCGCAATGAGACTTGGCTGGTTCATAGGATTATGAGGAATCAAGTCTTCGCATTGTCTCATCGGTTTTTCGACTGAGCATGTCCAAGGATTTGGACCGACAAGGCACCTGTGTTAGAAGGGAATGATAGAAATGTTTTCCGTTGAAGGAGAATCGGAAACAAACCAGAGAATCTAAAAGGGGGCAGGAAAATGGCAATAACCATTGCTACATAGATCGAGTCCCAAGAGCTTTTGGCAGGGAGTAGGTCTAACGAGGAGAGGTATGATTTTCATGACGAAGGATTTTGGCTTTCTCTCTGGAGTTCTGCAGCGTATCTTGGGATTGTATTATTTGTACTCTGGGGGCTACTGTGTCTTAGGGGTTGAGGTATGGTTGTGTATAACGGAGGTTTGGTCTTGTTATGAATTTATCTTGCCATTATCTGTAACCCACTATCTGCTATCGTAGTCGTGATCAAACACGAATAGCTGTTTAATGTTTTGATTTATCCCCTTAAGATGACCTGCAAAGGGAACTTTGACAATTATAAGTAAGTCTTCGGTGGCACCCTTAATAACTCCTCGCAGCTAGTTCATGAACATACTGTGTATCTTTGACGAGAGGCCATAGTATCCCCTAGATAAATCGTTAAATCCCGAATACAAAACGCCACGCCATAAAGCCCCGACGGGCGGGGGTATCATAGATCATCCACTGATTTCCTGTACGTGATATACGTCAATCATGATAAAGCCATATTTATAAATATATCGTTTTTCTTTTTGTCGAATGGCCCCTTTTACGCTTCGCTGGTCGTTCATAGAAGGTCATCCGTGCCGCTAGCGACACTTTGCTCGATGGCATTGGTAATTGAGCGCTCTGAGAAAACAGGGCCTTGGCCATCGCAACGAGCACAATTCTTGAGGCGCTCGCTCACGTCAGCTATGTCTACCAGACCTTTCTTGAACAATTCGTGAGAAATGATAAAGTCCCACGTGGCGCCTGCCGCGAGGAGACGTTCGCCATCATCGGAGGTAACGATGCGGTGAGAGGGTGATTTATTCGTGTGATTTTGCAGGACGTTGGAGTAGAAATCTGTGGGCTTGAAGCGCAACGGTCCCGTTGCAGGCTCGGGGGAGATGGAACCGTGGCCCACGTGCGACGTAGCACGTAGGATCTCATTCTCCGTGGACATTTTCTGAAGATCGCGTTTCAGCCGCTCGTTTTCGATAGACGATTGCTGCTGCGCAGCCTCAAGGCCCGCAAGCTTCGCCTCTAGATCTTTGACATGTCTTTCCTTCCTCTCACGGAAGGCACGCTGCCTGTAGAGAATATGTTAGTTGAATGAACAACTGGGAGTAACTGGTCCATGGCAGTTGTGTATCAGTAAATCGGTAACCGTGCAAAAAAGGGTTCCGACTGCTGAACGTCTGCACCAAGACAAAAGCCCACGATAAACTTACGCAGCGCGGTTCTGTGCTTTTCTTCGAGACTGGGCAGGAGTCAAATTCTCATCCTCCTCGCTGCCTCCACGGGCGATTGATTGTTCATCGGGTGAGCCGTTCCTCATCGAGCCTCCTTGCTGTTGGTGAACTTGAACTTGGGAAGCGAAGACGTTCTGGCCCGGAGGCGTCGGCGGTCCAGGGAAACCGGATGTGGGCTGGTGAGGATTGGCGTTGAAGCCTTGGGCGGTTGTATAATCGAAGGATTGGAACTGGTCATTTTGGCTAGTAGGCAGGGCATCGTAGTTTTCCTGTGCAGATGCAAACTAGACGTCAGCTTAGATGCGCTAGTGCTATGAGATAAACGAGCTGCAGGTACGATGGTGAAGAAACCAAAGACCTTTGAGATCTGAAGCCCAAGGTTGATAGAGTAATGCTCAGGTAAGAAAACGCTAAGGCAGGGCTGCACCGGGAGAGTGGGGGGGTGATCGCGGAGAAGAGCATTTACTGACAGGCGGGGATGCATTGAAGTCATCAGAGCCGGCGGAATGGGAGTGCGACGGCGTAAGAGGAGGAATTGGCATGAACTGGTGATAGGGCTGAGGGTTGGCGAAGTTGTATTGCCCGGTAAAATCCATTGTGATCGTTTCAGAGGCGGTGGTGCGTTTGACGGTTGATGGTCGCGAAAGAAACAGAGTGGAGCAGAGCAGCGAAGAGTCGAGTAGGTTACTGGGAATGACTGTGGCGGCACAGAGCAGACAAAAAGCCTGAGATGATGGGGACAAGCGATAGGTAGTGAGCAGTTGACGACTCAATGCCGCTCAGAGAACGAAGGAGCTGGAATTTTTGGTCCAAACAGCAGAGCAGAGTCGAACAAGAAGCAGGTAGTAGGTAGTAAGTAGTAGAGAGCAGGTGGTGAGTGAGAAGCAAGAGGTGAGGTAGGAGGGAAACGGAGAGCAAGCAGGTGCAATCGAGTCAAGGTGCGCACGGAGCAGGAGTAGAAGCAGCAGGCGACCTAAAAGTACAGTACGGAGTAAGGTAGGAAAGGAAGGAAGGAAGGGTCTCGATAAAGTATAACGTGGAATCCGTTTCGCGAACGGGGGGACGGGAAAGGTTGGGCCTGGGCCCTTTTTAAGAGGCAGCTGTGGGTTCGCGATATTGAAGCTAGCCGGTATCCAGTAAAGTGGAGGTGTCAATTCTGACTGGGCACGGCACTTAGCTTTTGACGTGCATATATTGGCCGTTGCGTTGCGTAGCGTATTAGTCGCTGCCAAGGCCAGTGCCAGGGTTGGATATCAACATCGAGAGTCCCGAGCTACAGTTTGTGACTGGATCTCTACAGAAGAGAGATTCTGAAATGTCAAGAAAAGGCCTCGGAAGGGTTTCCCAGACTAACGAAAAGGGTTCCATGCCGCGTTCCAAGCTAAAGCGTCATCTGGGAGTGGTTTCGACGGGGGAGCTGCAGCAAGGCGGCCGACGTTGCGGTGCCTCTAATTCGTTCTTTCATCTTTCTCTTTCCTTCTTGTTGCTGCGTCGTTGCTTTACCCGCCAGCTCAGCATGGTTGATCCAGTCATCGCAGCAGGATCCTGATGGCTGTGCCCTTGGAGGATAACTCGGGAACTGTGGATGCCTCTGTTCCATCAGGGAGGGCCACGGATACCTTGCACATTAACGTTGATGCAGAAGTGGAAACCCAGAAGATTTCCCTTGATCAAATGCTGTCCTCGTATCATCCTATAGAACGGATACCTATTGAGCAATTCCAATTCCTCTTTGTGGCGTTGGCAATCAGGCAGTTCCAACGTCATGTTTCAGATATACAACGTTGAACTTGAGCTCGGTATTAAATAGGTACAGATCCGTACGAGTAACTAGTACCTACATAGGTACATACAGCACCTCACCTACAGGATACCTTAGCTGTCTCAGACATCGATTGTTCTAATAACCCTGCAACCAACAGTGGAGGCTCCGCTAATGGATCCATTTGTTAGCGAATGCAAAGATCCCTTCTAATGCATGCTTCAACACTGATAGCATCCATTTCCTCGTGCCTCTCCTTCGTCAGACGCGACAACATTTTCTCCTTCTGGTCTTGGGTCATTGTTCATTGTGGGGCATCCTCGTGTAGGTAAGCATTGGATCCATAGGTTCTAGGTGGAGGGCAGGGTCCCTAATGGGCATGGGGTTCCCCATGGATCTGCACTTCGCACTTATGTCCGGATCATGTAAGTCGGATTTATTTATTATATGCAGTGTTCTACTACATACATGATTAGCCAAACTGAACATCTATCTAGTCTCTTTGCAACTTTACGTGCCCTCCTTACACATTGCCAAACTATGCCTAATCGAGTAGGACCTAAGGCCGAACAATCTGTCCTGTCCTGTCAACTTGATCACTTGCTTGGGTTCGCTGAACAACACCAAAGATGGGCCTCGCAGCATAGAAAACGACCATTATTCGCAGCCTTACAGGGCCAATTGGTTATTTTTAATACTTCGGCCCTTTTCTTGAGTACGCAACCCCGCTCTGAAGCCGGGTCCTACTACTTCTGAGTCCGGCCTGGTCTTGCTCACCGAACCTATGTGGCATAACAGACAGCAACTTCAGCCGTAGCTCCAACTGCATCCGACTTCACTGCTTAGTCGGCCGCCCGCCCGCCCGCTTCACCCGCCCGCTTCGCAAGGGCCATCAGTGAAAACTCATTGCGTCGTGAGTTTCTACTTGTGCGGTAATCGCTTTCAAAGTCGTGGCTCCGCAGGCGTCGTAGGATCTCTCGGGGTTTGTCCTCTCATCAGTACATGGTTACATGTGAATGTAACTGGGGGCTAGTGATAAGGGAATACTACCGTATTTTTGATTATCGACGAGCATGGGCTGAGTAGGTAAGTTTGACAGTATACGCAAATGATACGTCAAGCACAAGTAGTCAGGGACTACGGATAGCCCAAGGTCATGTCCTTTTTAGGCTTCTATCGACTTTAGCATTGTTAACACATGGACGTTATGTGTAACCAATGATAGCCAAACTCAGTTTCACGCATCCCCCACTGAACTTGTCTCGTAAAGTATCCCAAGACCCTGGGTGCATACCGATAGGTAGGTAGTATATGCAGCCCAGCAAACCAGATGCTGACACCGGTGTTTTTATTCCGGAGTTCGGCTTGACATTTCCCACGGCACATATGCTCATAGTAGACAATGTCAGGCCTAGGGGAACCGACAAGCGAGCACGTCCTACCTAGGTAGGCAGTGTGCCTTGATTTCGGTGACGGTGTAGGTAGGTAGCTAGGCATGTTTAGAAGCTGTAGAACGTGGGGAAACGATTAGATCTCACGCACCTACTTGAGCAAAGAAACGTACACCCCTCCTTTAGACATTGGCATATTCATCTGTAAGTGCTGCCCAAGTGGGATAGATACATGCAACATCCAATATCTAGATGTACTCGGGTACCATAGCCATTGAATCAGGTAAGATTTGGGGAAATGATATGAGGCTCATTGCCGTCAATTCGACTCCTGCCCGTGAGCCAAAGCGCAGAACTAATGTAAGTAAGACGGCCAGATCACTTCGACTTTAACCTCACTCTTATCGTCAGATTGTGGCTGCTGCAGCCACAACAAGACTGCCAGACTTTGGTCCTATCAACGCCTTGGGGCAACGACTTCGTGGATGCATAGACTAGAGTATAAGCTCATATACCAAATGTCCACGCCGAGCTTCAAAGGGCAGCACATAACGGTTGCAACCACAAAACCCAAGCCAATCTAGTACCATATATTGGATTTGGCTTTGTTGCTAGAAAAAGAAAAAGACTCAATTATCTTCGCATTCACTATATTTCTAACCTTCAAACGGTCTTGATGTAAAGAGTAACATTGCATGCGGTATTAATTAAACGGTGACGAAACATAGCAATTGGGAGATGTGGACGAGCGGCTGGAAGAGTATAGGCTCAAAATACTCAAATTGCCCTTGATCCAGCTCGAGGCGAGACGTGCGTGTCGTAGAGCTCATGCACTGGAAGAATTTAGATTAACAATGTATTAATGATATTATACAGCTCTTCCGTGTCCCTTTCCTCCGTCTAACGAAACCACCTTTATAGGTCGCAGATAGCACTGATCTTGGAGAAACATGCCCGTTGAAGAACGAGGTCTCGCTTGCGACCCTGCATCGTCTCGCTTCTCTTGCCCCCAACGCCAGTAAAATAAAAATAGAGGTAAAAGTAAAAGTAGAAACACCAATGATGCCATATGCAACCTATACAGGATATATTCAAATGTCTTTCCCAAACCCTGACAACAGCAACACCAATATTAGCATCATGAGCGTACGATCGACTATGTTTAGAATCAGCTACCCCAATGGCGCTAACTTGAGGACACCGATTCTGATTTCTCGCAGGTGAACAGATTGATGTGCTGGTCACCTCGAGCAGCGCATCCCAGGATCGGCCGATGAGGGTGAAATGCGGTTGCTGAGATAGCCGAACTACGATTCTGTTGCAGAAAGCTTGAGTAAGGCTCAACACTTGAGAGCTCATGACCGTCAAGATTGAACACCTTGACAGTGTGAGCCGATGTGCCCCTGACGATAAGTTAGCTCGCTTTCAAGAATCCAAGAAAATTTAATACTTACACAGCGAAGACTGGTAGATGTTCATGTGTGCTCGCAGTCCGGAGCGTGTCTCGCGTCGTTTGAAACGAATGCAAGGGTTTGTCCATGCGGATATCCCATATTTTGACTTTGCCATTTCTGCTTGCGCTTACGAGTTCCCGCTGGCCACCGCGCTGCATATGGACGCTCTTGATCCATTGTCGGTCTGATTCGTCCTTCCATTTGCGTACCATCGATTCCTGGGGTCTATTCCTCGTATCGAAGACACGAACAGCGCCGTCTCCGAAGCCAGCAACAAACATGTTGCCCGTCATTTGATCCGATGTCAGGGAAGTCACGCAAGATCCTGACCGCGCTGGGATGTCCATAACGCAGGTTTCATAAGCCGCATACCATACTCGAATCACTCGAACATCGCCAGCAACAAGGACACGCCCTGTGACCTGCTGCCAGTCGAACACCATACCTGAGTTGACATTGCTGGGCACCATATGTGTCAAGGCACGCCATGAAGAAGCTAGCTCGATGGCTCTGTCCGATTCGTAGTTTCGATATACTCTGATCACGCCATCAGATGATCCTGTGAGCAGCATCGCCTGGTCATCTTCGTTGATAAACTTCATGTCGCTGATTTTGGAACCCTCGGGATTCCCGTTGCTGAACCGACTTAACCGACCTTGCTTCTTCCAATCCCACACGTAAACCGTGTTGCCATCGTCTGCCACAGCGAGGTGATCCTCAAACTGATGAAATGTCATCTTTGCAGGCTGAGCTCCGTTGTTGACGATACCAAGCTGATTGTTCCACTTATGGCTTCCCGCTTGTTGCTTTAGTGGTTGTGTTTCTCTAAAAATGGTTTCGTTTCGAGCTCTTCGCCACAGTCGCTCGTTGTACTCAGTGCTTCCTGGTTCATCTGCTTCGCTTGGTTTCATCTGCGGCTCACGGAAATATTCAATGGACCATTCCAGAAATCTACTCTTAAGTGGGAGTGTAGGAGGTTGCGTTAAATCCCGTTGCTTGTATGCACCTGAATATGGTTCATGAGCAACATTGTATAGCGCCTGAGAAGAGGTTCGATCATTTTGTTCTGGTGGGACAGCCACTTGATTCGGAACAAGTTTGAGTGACGGTGATCGAGGCAGTGTTGGCGTTGTTGGTCGTGGTTTGTCTTCATTGGTAACCAACGAGGGGAAAAGCAAGCTAGCAGTTCGACGTAATAGTCCAGGAGAAGGTAATGGTTGGGAGTTGGAAGAACCAGTAGCATTGTTGCGTTGGCTTGTATTGGGCATGTGTTTGTTTGCCAGTTTTGTCGCGCGTTTTTGAATCTCGGCCATAACAAGTTGCGTTTGAGCGCCAACCTTCGAGCTGAGAAGCGCGTGGTGGAGATAATCTACCACGATAGTAGCTTCTCGTTGTACCTCAGGGTGAGGATCCACGCTGAGTACCAGAGCCAACTTCCATAGGGCCATATACACTGTATTGTGAGAAAGGCCGTGGGCCATTGGTTTGATGGTGCCGTCTTTGTTACGGTTCTCTGGCCTTGCATAATGCAACCCCATTTTATGCTCCTGGCCATCATCTTGGGGAGGGAAGATAAGATACTCCTTCTCCTCAACCAATTGTTCATAAGCTGCAACCAAGAACTTGCTCTCAAAGCGAACTGCGAAATGTGACAAGAACACGACAAATTCCTTGCGAACCATCGGGCTTCCATCATTCCCCATGTCAAGTATGGTCCATGCAATTGACTCCTCAATCCGAGCCACTTCATCTGTTAGGTCAGGAATGCCAAGAAACGTGGTCATGGCATGAACCATAGCGGCTCGCACCTCGCAGCATGGGTCTCTCACAAGATAAGCCAGCTTGACGTACGCGTTTTCCCTGATGCCTCGCCATTTTGCCTCCGGAAGATCCTGCCAGAGCTGGCTTATACAAAGACAAGCCCATTGTCGAAGAAGGGGGTTCTCTTCGTTCTGAAGGTGGGTCAAACAGTATGTCATAATGTCTGTCTGGTTACAGACCATCTGGCCATTCTTGTAGTCTTTACAAAGCATGGCCAGGATGAACGCACACATTGCCTTGTGTTCATCGCTGTCAACAACAGGCAGTCCCTCGGAAGGTTTGAGGATTTGTGCGAAGTAGCTGTAGCCGCTATCTTTGATGAGATCCTGCTGACAAGAGAGGTCGACTGCGATAAGACGTGCCCATATGAAAACCATAACAGGCTTCAACTCAGCGGCAGCAGATTGTAAAAGTTTCAAAACATACGGAAAGATGCCTATACTGAGAGCGAGCTGAACAGACCATGGGCCTAGATCAAGGAACCGACCAAGCAAGATAAGAGCTCGAACACGATGTTGTTGACTGAGCAGAACCTGTAGCACAACAGGTAACTGATCAGGCGACTTTTGAGCCATCGCATCGCCCCTTGTGAGATAAACATCGAAAGCTGTAAGCTGTTCTGTGAAGAAGCTCGAATTCTGATACTCGTAGTCATACCCTTCGCTTTCCTTCTTTTCCAGCGCGGGGAGCTGAGATAGTGCCATATCTACAGCTAGATCCCAGGTTTCCCATAATGGATGCTGATGGGTATCGGGAAGCTTAGGGTACGACTGAGGGTGGCAGCCATAAACAGTCATGACACGCTGAGCTAGCAAAAAATTGCGGAACAAAGCTGCTACCATGAGGTCCTGTCGGAAAAACTTGCGGAAAAGGTCACGCGGCAAGGTCGTCCATGCGATGCTATCTGTGATTGCGGTGAAAATCCAGTTAAGTTCACCTAACGGTGTTCGCCGCTCTTGAAGTCGACCAGGTAGCTTTTTTGCTCGTTCTGGGCTGACTTTCGTTTTCAAGGGATTTTGTAGAACAAAGAACCACAATGCCATCTCGATAGGGGTGGTAAGACAAGCCGTGAAGAGATCAGCAGGCAGAAGAGGGTTCGTCGGGAGGTTTTCTTTGACAGCGCAGGCCGCCAGGTGAATATACGGTCGAAAATTTGTTTTCGTGTAGTTTGGGTCTCTCTCTGCAGCTTCTTCTTCTTCTTCTTCATGCTTCTCGACAAATCTATGGTAATTGTTCAGAATATTACCGGCTTCTGAACAATCCCAGACAAAGATGGTAGGGGCTTGCAGCCAATGTTGCAAATCGTACAGCGATACCGGAATATACTGGGTGTAGTTTTTGTTGAAAACCCATATCTCGCCCGATGCGGTCGGCTTGGGGACGCCATGTCCGTTGTAATGAAGGAGAACGCGCTCGTCTTTGGCATTTCTGCGCAATGAGATGCAGAATTTCTTTGTTTCCTCAACAGATGGATCTAAATACTGTTTATACCGTGCCCTTATCGCAAGGGTTTCATACTGTGCCTGGAGTGCCTTGCCAATATTTTCGAGGGCTTTCTGAATTGGGGGGACCGTCGGATCCGTCCATGCTTCCAGTTTTGCGCCTGGGTTGGTCTTGAGCTGATCGGGAGGTTCGACTCCTATGTTCAAGCATACAGCGAGAGCCGCGGACACCGTCTTTAATCTGTCCCTCTGTCGCCAATCTTGGAGTTCGTATTGGGGTGGTTTCGGTTTACCTGTCGTTTCATGCCGTTTATCGGTAAAGTACATATACCAATTCTGCAAACAGCGTTAGCTTAGTAGATTGAGAAATGGCAGGCGTGTCGCGAATCCATCCTTGGCTTGAATGCTGTGGACATGTGTGTGTATGTGGTCATCAATAAAAAGCACGATGCACCATCAAGCGGCTAGAATGCCCAGATACCGGCCGAAGTTCAATAACTAACGAGGTGCCTTTTTTAGGTGCCACAGCATATACCGTAGCCGGTATTGCTGTATCCTGCATGTGTCGAGTATAATAAAGAACTCAGGGTCCACCGATACCGACTGGCCAGCACACGGGGAATAATTAAAATAAAGTCCAACTCACGTTAGCCAGCTGAGATATAATGTCTTCTGATTGATAATGGTCCTCAAAGCCGTGCCTGGCCCCCCAGTCAGGTATGTCGTCTTCTACTGGGTCAGGCTCATCTATCGGCCGTGGCGCGTAGTCGCTCTTTGATCGAAGAAGCAGCGGCTTCACAGGCCGCGTTTGCTGGTGATGTTCGATGTCGTCTCTCGTCTCGAGGGCTATGCTTCCGTTGCGACGGTTCGGTGCGCTCAAAGGTCGTTGGTCGTCTTCGTCGCTTCTAATAGCGTCGTTCGAGGTTGAGCGGCCGTTGGGCCTGGGCCGCACCGCTAAGGCCACTCCGTTTGACTCGGCTGTAGGCGCCGAAGTGCCGTTGACATCAGATCGCAGCGCCATGGCGACCCGATGATAACGAAATACTGCTTTCGACGAGGTGGGTTGGCTGTGGTCGGAGAGCGCGTGTTGTCGTGACGAGCACGAGTTGGGCGGAAGTCTAGGTCTAGCGTTGGCCGAGGAGCTTGCAGTAGAGGCGGGTGCGGGTAGGTAGCTTGTGGAGGAAGTGACGTCTAATGTCGCGACCAGTTGGCTGTCATGCTCTGCTGTGTAGCTTAAGCCGGCATTGCGAGCGAGTGCTCGATTTATTGAGCGTGGTCAAGGCTTTGCACAGTCTTGCTCGATCAATTCAGTTGCAGGTCACTGGGTAGAAATAGATGAGAGGAGTAAAACCCGATTCCTAAGAGTTTCGGTCTATGCGATAGGTAGTAGTAGCAGAGCAGGTTCATGTGGCTGACCAGGATAAAGCCAAAAATTAGGAATTCCTGACACACTAACGTTAACCAATCACTGCTAGTGGTGCACGCTCATATGCTCGTTCCCAATAGGAGTAGATCCAGCTCTTCCTTGGGGGTTTCGAATGTGATACTACTCAAGAATTATACACTACCTATCAATTTTAATGCCACTGCAATGAGTTGATGCTCTGTCATATGCGCAAGTGAGTCCAAATGTCCTCAACTCATTCATGAGGTACCAACCGCACGTTGTCCAGTGCTCCCGTTCTAAGATATAAATCGCATTTCTGGCCAACCACCGAGCAGACAAGCAACAGCACGAAGCTACTGCTGTACTGTCAGGGTACAGATCAACGTCGGGTTAGATACCTATCTAAAGTACTGACATACCTGAGTATTAACCTAGCAGCCTAGGTACCTAGAAATACCACGCGTGACTCTGCACGTGGCTGCATGCGAAGGTCTTGCTTGGAATCGAAACATCCATCGATATCGTCTCCCGGGTAGCAGGGTGCTATATGTGCAGTTCGCGATTTGCAACATCTCTATCGGATGTCATCTTATTCTCACTGATTTTGATCGTCTCGACACTCGCATTCATAATTAGCACGAATGGTCTGCGTTACCACGATACACTGCTTTCCATACTTGCTACCTTCCTTCTGAACTTTGTTCCGCAACATCAACAAGGATGTCATGGACTGCCTACGAACACATCCTGAATATCAGTACATATTCTGTCAAGAAAACTCATAGTACCTACCATAACTCTAGTAGAGATAGCTAGCGAGTGTATGTTCATTGCCAGTATTCTGTGCATATTGGAAACTTGGGGTTAATTACCATACTATTGAATTGTAAGAGCAGCTATGGACTGTAAGATTCATTGGTCAGAGACACCTACAAGAGCTTAGTATAATCACAGAACTCTACTGCAAAACGGGAGTTCGGTAATGTGAATCAGAGTTACAAACCAATCAGGCTGTGTTCATACGAGTGCTGATCAAATGAAGTATACGCATACGCTCTTCATTATGATAAGCAACCTAGACCACCGCTTCTTTAAACCTGTACTCGCCTGATTAATGTACCCTAACCTTCATCCTCAATCATGTCAATCGTACAGAGCCTACAAATACATCCATTATCTGGACGTGAACAAACGAACAGACCGCGGCGTATAGCGCCAAGCTCTCGCCCCTTTCCTCTTCCACTCTAGGTACTAACCAGAGCCTGGATCTCTACTTACCTATGCCTTGTTGGTGGGGTAAGAAGAAGATTACCTTCCGTAGAAATTATCTATCGACCCGGCGCCCGTAAACGTAGCGTGCGTAGGCCGTCGGGGTTGACGATGTTAGCGCCCGAGAAACATGGTACTTAGGTAGTAGTTATCCAGAGAAACATATCATACCACCCAGGTAATTAACTAGTTGTCAATATCAACATCTCCCCTCTATACTACTATATGATTGGTAATAGTAAGTAGATTCACTACCTACCTAGTAGGTAATAGGTATTATGCCGACAAACGTCAGGTGTTATTGTTCTTTCCTCATAACTTCTAGCAAAAGAAGCGAGGTTGGTGTTCGACAGTGTATGATGGTAAAACCACTGAGATATCCATAACTTAATTTATAGCTATTTAATGTTTGTTATTGTATAGGTAGATATACTTTCTACGCTTATATGCGAACTGTGGAACCTAGTAGACGGTAGATATCATACCTTCCTAAGGAATGAAAGACTACGGAGTACCTCGAAGCAGATTCACATAGATCTAGGGTCGTGGCATTCTTCGCCAAGGTACCTCAAGTTGACACGAAACTTTACATCTGAATACTGAAGCTTTGGATGCTCATACCTTCGACCCTGATGATTGGGTTTGAGTAGGTAGCATGGTCTACATTCGAAGCGCTCTTGGTGATAGAATAAGTAACAACATGAGCCCAAAGGCTTTGCTGAGCCCAGGGTGTGATCCTGTCTTCGGTAAATTCCATGATAGAGTGGCTTCCTGTCAGGTACAAAAACACATATGCACAAAAGGGGCACACCAGTGGACAATTGGATGGATCTCGTCAGTCTGATGTCCCCCACCGCCGGGTATCTCCACTCCTCGACGCAGGGAAGATGCATTCGTGCTAATGTAATAGCATCCTCCTGAGATTGAACAAAGAGCATTGGCAGAAGCAAATGCACAATGGCCAGAATGTCATCACAGACCGCATGAATTTACCTACAGGCAGCAAGTAAATAACCCGCGTTCTAACAGAATTGGCGATTTGGCATACTCTTTTCGCTGTGTGACGTCGTGATAGTCCTGACGACAATATTTTGCACCTAAGAGATAGACCAGTACTTTCGTCCTGGGTGCTGCCTAGGTGCCTCATAAAAAGGACCTAGACATCCATTTGGATCTGTTGGTAGCGGCTGTACCTGCGCAACTCCCGATACCGCTTCTGCATAACAAAGACGCAGGAAAGTTAGTATTCTATCGCAGACTTAACACGCGGTATTCTTTTTTTCTTCTTTTTTTTCTTTCGTTATAAGAAAAGAACCCCGATATAGACTACTAGGCATCTAGGTACAAAAAATATTGTACTCGTACCCGAGGCTGGCCTGGGCGGAACCCCTAATAATTGTCCAGGGTCGGGTGCTGGCTGCCCAGGGGCACAGCCAGACTCACACTTCGATTGGTTGAAACATCCAGAATCCAGAAGAAAACCTACATATGTTCCTGGTCAGGCTACGAGTTAGTAGAAGACAACGAGCAATAGAATATGGGCGAGAAGGTCACTAAGGCCACTGTAAGAAACAACCTAACGTTAACATATCCACATCCACATCAGATGAGGCAAGGACTAACTATAGTACCTAAGCCCCATCTATCGTTGTTCTGCCCGTTTCCGTTCCGTTGCAGCTGTCGCAGGCTCTGGCTGCTCATTTCGTACCTGACCTTCCATCACCACTTTCTTTTCCATCTCACATCTTTTCCTGCGCCAACCCAACGGGGGCATCCTATCCGCCGCATCGTCTCTCTTTCATCCCCTTCTAGTCACTTGACGTTAACGACCCTTTTGACCGACCAGTAACTGCGTGGACGCAGACTGACAAAAAGGAATTCTTGCTTCTCAGCAGTGTGCGACAGCGCATCGTCCGCTTCGAGGCCAACCCCCCTCCCTACCTTGGACTCCCCGTAATTCGGGAGGTTGACCACGTCTCTCAAAATTTCCAGAATACCGATTCGCAATACCATCGGCACATCCACCAATGCTCGCCCAGCCATTCCCGAACTCGAATATCGATATACTTGTTTCTACGTGTGTGGCCGGATCTCCGCAGTCGGAATATTCGCTTGATCCCCTGGCTATCCTTAACACGCGACCGCTGCACGACGATAACATTTGACTCGCGATAGACTCATCGCATCTCAGTTGTCAAACACCGAATACTGCTCTCGCCGCTCCGCGGCCGCTTAATGCTGAACCATGGCTTTCTTATTTAAATCGAAGAAACATCCCGATAAGTCGCAACCCGTTAGCCGCGACGCAGGCTCTGGTTCCCAAGGGTCGATTCAAAGCGCCACTGCTCGCGCTTCTGAAAAGGGATCCCTACAGCACCGAGCAACTCCTACCGGAAGCTTGAACTCGATAGACAATGATGCCACCAGTGCAAGCCCTGATCAAGGGCCTGGACATAGTCTCGGTCATGGGCGCCGTGGCGGAAGTGCTGACCAGTCAACACAACAGCCCAGCGATCCATCCGTAAGTTTTCTATGTTTTTATGAGTCGCCGACTGCAGGATTGGTTTTTTTCTTTTTTTTTTTTTT